TAGAAGAAGGAAGGCAGCTTCTACAAATGAGGGAATGTCTAGCCGGAATGCTCCAAATAATTTTTGTCTGTCACCATCACCTACGTGAAGTTGGCTTCAGCTTTGAACCAGGATCCTGGTCACGTGCCCAAGATCTTCCTTGACCTGGAGTGCCAAAGGTGCCCTTAATGTGAACGTATTTTTCCAGAAAACACACTTCAGCCAAGCTAAGAACCCAGGAACATCACTAGGGCAGAAACAAAGACATCTCTGAAGCCATCTGAAGGTGAAAAAGAATTCTTTAGGAAGTACAATGATCTTAATTAAATATTAGCTGTAATTAGCCCAAAGGGCAAACGTTGAGAATATTAATTAAGGTCTCTCTAGAACGGCTATCAGTGTTAATAAGTAACTGCGGGGGGTCCCACTAACATCTGTTTGAGGACTTCAGAGCAGGAGTGCCCTGCAAAGCCCTGTGGACTTGAACCCTACCTGCGGGCTCCTTGACGACCATGCACACAGTCCCTAGAGCTTGGTGTGCTGGGTTTGCCAAAACGGCACAATGCTTGATAGAGGTTGGCGCTGTGTCCCCAGTTGGCCCTTGCCTTTCCTGGGATAGCCTCAGAACCTTGTGAAGCTAGACCCTGGGCTTGAGATGGCACAAATTTTCCAGGCTGCTGCTCTAACACACACCAGAGGCTCATCTAGCTAGCGGAACACTGGTATTTCTGCATCAAGTATCCCAACACCTGACTCCCCGTGGGGTGTACCCACGCCTGTTGGGTAGCAGGTCTTGAGGCCACGGTGTAGGAATGACCAAAAGAGGTTTGTTTACTTCAAAATGGGAACAAATCTTTCCGCCAGGTGATAATAGCCTCCCGAGGTCGGAGACACCTGGGGATCCATTAGGCTCCTGGCTTCCCTGGGAGCCCCTTGTTGTGGTGACCTCGCACAACGATTTCCTAGTTCTGGACTGCAGCCTCCCTCCCGGTCAGCGAACATGGGGTGAAAGAGGCAATGCATGCAAACCAGGGATCCTAGGTCTCGGCGAGATTAACACTGGGGGCAGGGTCATCCTTTGTGGGGGGCACCATTCCATGCATGGTAGGGTGGTTAGCACCATCCTTGGCTTCTCTCTACTTGATGTGAGCAGCAACGCTTTCCTCCCACTGGGAACAACCAAAAGTGTCTGCACACTCTGTCAGATGTCCCCGGGGGAGCAGTTGCCCTGTGTAAGAAGTACTGACACCAAGCCTGGCACAATGCCTGGCACCTTCTAGGCCCGAGAAGAAAGCAGCACCCCTCAGCCTGCCTTCTAAACACTGGGGAGAAGGGATCCCTTTCCCATGAGCACAGAAGCCTGAGGCCATCATGGGTCTTCCCCTCAGCAGCCCACTGTGCTGAGTCCGAAGCCCGTGTGTGCTCATGAGTGCGTATAGCACAGAGGTGCGACGATGGGAAGCACATTCTGAAGAAGATGTCTCCATGGGGCACCATCCTTGGCACCAGCCGTCCACAACTCTGGCTGGGCTTCCATCCTTTGTTTAGGGAGAACGCACCCCCCCGCTTGTCTCTCTTCTGATTTTCCTGCCAACTTTATTTCCTGCCCAAACTTAGCATTACTTCTGTAATGGTGGCTTCTTACTTCATGTCCCCATATTTAGTGATAACTTTGCCCCCTTGATTTAAAAACTTATTCTGCAAGGGCCAAAATGGTTAAATAGTTTAGATTTTGTGGGTCTCTCACAACTACTCAACGCTGTCATGATAGCATGATGAGCATGGCTGTGTCTCGATAAAACTTTATTTACAAAACAACCAGTGGGCCACATTTGTCCATGGGTCATTTGCCAATCCCTCTCTTTTTCCCCCTACCCTGCCACCCTATGTCCTATTGCCAGGTTAAGCTTCTCAGAGCCCAGAGCTCATTATTCGAGCATGTATTCACTTATAAGTACTGATAAATGCCTACTTTGCAGCTAGCATGCTGTGGGGCACTGGAAATGGAATGGAGAATGTGACACAGTCCCCAGCCCTGAGGAATCTGCCAGACAAATAAGCAGGCAGTGACAGCACTAGGAGTTATGTGAGATGTGACCACAAGCCACAATGGAACATAGAGGACACACAGCTGAAGTGGGCTCAGTGTCAAGGAAGGCTTGCTGGAGAACTTGGCCTGGGACCCAAAAGGACAGTCAAGACCAGCCAGGCAAGGGAGTAGGGAGGGTTTTCCAAGCAGAGGGGCAGTGAGTGGGTAGACTTGATGGGTGTGGAGAGTATGGAGTGACTGTTGGCTTCCCGAGGGGAGGCCTTTCTCCTTCTGATGCAGAGAGAGCTCAGATCCCAACAGAAAGCCCTTGTAGTTTCTTGAGAACCTGTGGGGGACAGGTTACTCTTCCTGAGAGTGCTTAGCTGTATGGAAAGGCCACATGGACTTATATGTCCCCCTCAAAGTGTTTTCTGCTGGAGGCAGAGGAGGGAAAGCTTTCTCTTTGTGTGAACATCTCTCTGCTGTTGCTTATGGGTCATTTCCTGCTTCCCTTTGGGGCCACACCTGGAGTTTTCACAAGTCTGACTTTCCGTTCAAAGAAGCACCAGATCGAAGGTCGGGGGGTACTGAAATGGACCTTTGGGCAGAAGTAGAATCTGGCAAAATGAATTTCCCTTTGGAGGGTTCTCAAGGTCCCAGAGTTTCTGGGACTTCTCATCAGCCAGAAAAAAAGTGGCTCCATGTGGAATTTGTGTACCAAGGCCTATGGTCCTTGAGCAGCCCTATAGAAGAGAAGGATGCTAGTTAGCTTATAAATGGGAGAGGACGTTTCTATTCTTATTAGTCCAGACTCTTTGGGTTGTAAGTAACAGAAAATAAAACTATCTGACACAAATTGAGGCATTTACTGATTCATGTAACTAAAGCAAACAGTGATGTTATTAACTGCAGATAAGGTTAGACCCCAGGCTTCACATGATGTCACTGGGATTCAGTTGACCTGTTTCTCAATTTCTGGGCTCCGTTTCCCTCTGGGTTGGCTTCTGCTTTAGGTGGGTCCTTTTCAAGTGGCAGTTGTGGGCAGCCCCGGGGCTGTGTTATTTTTACAGCAGCCAATCCCAGAGGAAAGAGAACCTCTTCCCCAAACCCCTGGGAGGTTCCCGAATTATGCCTCCTTGACGTTGCTAGAGGTGAACTCACTCACTAGATGGAGGTGAACCCATGTCCCTGTGACGGTGACCGTGAAACCCTCTGATGAGCCAGGGTCACATGACCATGTCTGGAGGTAAGTTGAGGCAGGGCTCAGCCCCCATCTGTACTCTGTGGGCTGAGAGGGGATGTGTCTCCTCACAGGAAACCAGGTATTATTCCTGATGAAAAGACCGATGCACACAAAGCAGCAATGGCAATGTGGCTTCCCGCGATGGTCAGGGTTAACTCTCCACGCGCAGGGATCCAGCGAGGGCGCTGAGAGACCCTGCACAGCCCCAAACGCGAGGAAAAGACGTTAGCAGAAAGCAAGCAATAGCTGCACATTTCTGCTTTCCCAGCGGCATAGACATTTGGAGACATTCGTCTGGGGGAGGAAAGGGCGTGATGGGAATGTTTTCACTTGTAAAATGTTTTAAACTTATCCTAAGCTTAGTTCTCTCCGAAGTGTCATCTTTAACATTCTAATTAAGGTCCCCTCTAAACAAATGCACAAACTCTGTGTGCGGCTCCGAGAATAATTTTTTTTTTTTTTTGGGTCCCTTCTCTGTCATAATGTTTTCGCTGCACTCAAGTTGCTTTAACTGGAGAGGCTCTCGAATGTTGGTGGTGGGGACTGAGGAGATGTGAGCAATCCTGACATTCTTGCCCTGGTATCATTCTGTGGCTAAAGTCACATCTAATTGACCACAGACAATGGGAGAGGCAGCTATCTGCTATGCTTAATTGCTAAGCTTCTCTCTCTCTCTCTCTCTCTCTCTCTCTGAATGTGCAATCCCATCTCTTGAGATCATGAAAAAAATTGGACCTCTGAGTTACAGTTTCTGCTGCAATGTGCATGTGTGTGCCTGTGTGTGCCTGTGTGTGCGCGTGTATGTGTATGTGTGTGCAGGGTAGTATAGTTATGAGGGTCTGGGTAGGAGGAGAGGAGGAGAGAAGCTTCCTGAAATGGAAGCATTTGAATTCAGGTTGTTTTTTTTTTTTTTTTTAATTCTTTTGACTTGACTGTAATGATCACGCTGCATGTTTTGCCTAGATTGGAAGGGTGAATTGTTATATAATACTCTATGCTTATAAAAAAAAATAATAAAGCAGGGGGCGGGGGAGGCATTGATTAATGAGGTTGATGCCAGTCCAGCATTTTATAAAGATACTTAAAATGGTGAACACAGTATCACAGAGTGCCATCTTTGTCCAAATTAGGTCTTGAATTTCCATTGGCTGCTTCGTATTGGCACTTCATTGGAACGTGTCACACACACACACACACACACACACACACTGTGACCATTAAAAGGACCCCCCCATCCCATTATGTGAGCCAAGTCACATAAAACTTTGATTAAATTCAAATGCTTAGATGAATTGTCTCTCCTCTCAAGAACACACACGTACAATTTAATCTCTCTTGGCATTTTAAGTATCAAATCAAGGCGCTGCTGTCACTGGAGACAACTACATGCTCGCATGTTCCAAAATGGGAATGAAATAAGGAGGATCTGCCAGAAAAATCTGATGGGGCAGAGTACAGACCCTCCGTCTTTGGCTATGGGGCTGGGAGATAGGGGGAAGTGACTGCACCTTGCTGAGCCTCGATGTCTGCATCCGCGCAATGGGGTCATGTCTGTGTACATGCTGAGCCCCATTTCCTTACGGAGCCTGGCGGAGATGAAGGGGAATGCATCCACCTCGGGCTCTGGGCACCGTGCCGGCTCCTGCAGACTGTTGTGGGGAGCACTGGTCTTCGGGCCCCAGGGAAGGGATCTGTCTGGTGCCCTCTCACAATGTTCTCATCCTCTCTCCCCCATTCTGATTTTTTTAGGGTAATCAGGAAGCAGCAGCTGCCCCGGACACAATGGCTCAGCCTTACGCTTCAGCCCAGTTTGCTCCCCCTCAGAACGGCATCCCAGCGGAATACACGGCCCCTCACCCCCATCCCGCGCCAGAGTACACGGGCCAGACCACCGTCCCCGAGCACACGTTAAACCTGTACCCTCCCGCCCAGACGCACTCGGAGCAGAGCGCAGCGGACACCAGCGCGCAGACCGTGTCGGGCACCGCCACAGTAAGTGGGCGCGGGTCCTCGGGCGGCCGAGCGGGTGGGGAGGCCTCCTCTCCTATTACTTCCTTAAATCAACACATTTCTCCTTAACTGCCTTTATTCATAAAGGGAAGCTTTCATCTCAGTTCTGTTCCTCTTGCCTTTTCTGGAATTAGGTCCTCTTAGAAGAATCATACACTTCGTAATTTTAACAGCTTTATGGAGATAAACCATTTTTGGTGTACCATTCATTGATTTCTAATATATTTGCAGAGTTGTGCCACCGGTGGCGCAATCTAATCTTAGAATATTGCCATCACCCAGGAAGAAACCTCAGGCCCCTTTGCAGCTTCTCTCCACCCCAGCCCCGTCTTCAGCTTCTTCAGCCTTCCTCATGCCTTTAACATTTACCTATGTTGTTCTGCGTTTTGTGCGAGCCATAGGGTGGGGGAGGCCTGGGCCACAAAGGGGCAGCACTGGAGAATTTTCCAAGGTCGTAGAATGTTCTGTATTTTGAGGGTGGCTGTTTAGTTTCTGCACCAAAAAGAGTTTATTTTATTACATGTGAATGTATTCAGTGGATTGAAAACAAGCAAACAAACAAAAAAGAAACATTTTATCACCACCGTAAATTAAAAACTAGCATTGTTGGCTATTAATCAAAGATAAGCCTTAACAAAAATAGTTATTAAAATTAAACACTTGTTCGTGTGCACGTGACCTAAAATAACCATGCACGTCACAAGATGTATATGTTCATTTGAGAAACCTTGTTCTGTGGGAAGCCTGGGCACGCCAAGCTGCTAGTCTAGAACATTTTGTAGGTAGAAGGCAACTGTACCTTTTTCTTCTGCTCCAAGGCCTCTGGAAAACCAGTATTTGTGAGGGAATTTCTTGGTTTATAGCAGGAGATTATTTCTTGGCCCTCAAAGTAACCATTTATTACTTTGCTACCTGGTACTTCACTTCAAGGTAAAATACGGAGAGTTTTGAAAAATAGTATACATTCTAACATGGTCTATTGCCTATCTCACCTTTTTTAATTGTGTTAAATATGTATATGACATGAAATTTACCATTGTAACGATTTTAATGCATCTAATTCAGTGGGGTTGACAACATTCACAGTTAAGTGCAACCATCACCATATCTAGTTCCAGAACATTTTCATCACCCCACAAGGAAACCCCAACCCATTACAGCGACACAGCCATTCCCATAAATGTATGGATGGATGGATTTTCAGTCCGTATGGATTTGCCCATTCTAGATATTTCATAAAAATGGAATCATGCAACATATGACCTTTTGGTTCTGGCTTCTCTCACTTAATAGAATGCTTTCAGGATTCATCCCCACTGTAGTGTGTGTGAGTACTTTGTTCCGTTTTATGACTGAGTACTACTCCATTGTATGGCTATGTCCCTTTTGTTCATCCATCCATTCACTCATGGGCATTTGAGTTGTTTCCATCCTAGGATTTTTGTGAATAGCGCTGCTATTGCCTGTGTATATCCGGCTGTTCCGACTCAGGGACGAGTTTATTATATGGGTTTGCTGGTCTGGCACGTGTCTGTTACCGGCTGTGTACACTACCAGCTTGGTGTTTATTTGTTTTTGGTTGTTTTGTGATAGTCAGTATTGGCAGGGCTTCAGAAGGCTTTTAGGACTGAAAAAGGATGTAATAATGTCCACTCAGACATTATCTATTAAGCCTCAGTATGTGCCAACTATATTAACCTGCTCTGGGAGAATGATTTATTCGTGCATGCTTTTAAGCCTCTACTGTGACCAGGAGTCATACCAGGTGATGTGGCTGAACCGAGCAGAAATGATCCTTTCCTTTTATAACGTAGTGTGAGAGTCATAGAGTGAGCTTGTGTCAGTCAAACAGCTGTATAAACAAAGATTGTGATTCGTGCTCTTGAGGAAAAGACAGGTGCCATGGAGGGTTAAGACTGGCAAGGGGACTGCCTGCAGGTGAGTAGTCTGGGACTTTCATCAAGAAGATAATGTTTAAAATAAGAAAATAAGCTCTCCAGTGAGAAGGAACACCAAGGTCAAGGTCCCCAGGTTGAAAAGATGTTGGGGGCTCAGTGGGTTAAGCCTCTGCCTTCAGCTCAGGTCATGATCTCAGGGTCCTGGGATCGAGCCCCACATGGGGCTTTTTGCTCAGCGGGGAGCCTGCTTCCCCCCCTCTCTCTGCCTGCCTCTCTGACTACTTGTGATCTCTCTGTGAAATAAATTAATAAAAATCTTAAAAAGAAAAGAAAAGAAAAGAAAAGATCTTGACTTGTTAAAAAAACTAAAAAGACGCCAGTATGTCCAGGGCATGCAAAAGAAGGTCCAGAGGCACAGGGGCAAAGCATGAAATGGGAATAATCATGAGGGATTGTATCCCACAGACCTGCTGGCTGTGATCCGTGGGTGGAATTCCACACCAGGAGCAAGAGGGAGCCACTGAGGAAGTTTGAGCTGGAAGAGCTGGAAAATGAAATCTTAAAAGGAAGGGTTATCGATGATACCTAAAAGGAGATCTTAACCCAGTTGGGAAGTTGCGATGCCCAGTATCCTTCTGTCCCAGAAAGAGCTCTCTAGAGATTAACGCACATTTACATGGAGTGTTGGGTGTCCACAGCGCCCCAGGCACTGCAGTGCCTTGAAATGGTGAGCACACGTGCTCTCTTTCCTTAGAGACATTCTTGGTCCACTAGAGAATATAGGATACATGTTCTGTTGTGACTGTAATGTGGTAAGTCTAGGGCATGGGTTTCTAAGGCTTTAGTGTATTTCGGTGATGGAAGAAACACTTGCTGAAGGACGTGCCTCGGTACTATCGTTGAGGGGACATACATTTCATAGTCTTCTGGCTGCTTCAAGTAACAGAAAATTCAGCAGGAAATGTGTTGGCTTATGCAACAAGAAGTCTCGAAGGAGGGCTGCCTTCAGACCCAGGGTGGTGCTTGGCATACGTGTGCTAGGCTCCAGCAGGATCCGTCTGTCTCTTCTTCCTTGGCTCACCTCCATTCTCTAGTTTTGTGTGATGGTTCCTGCAAGTCCAGGCTCCCGATATCATAGCAGATTCCTACGGAAGGACTCTCGGATGAGTCCCATGCAGACGAGCCCTGGGAGCCGTTCTCTCTCCCTGGTTTGCTCGGTATTCTGGCTGTCCAGTGGCTGACGCTGAGATCAGGGGCCTCAGTCCTGCAGCCGCTGAGAAGCGCCATATCCAAATGCAGAGACCAAGGATGGGCCCACCAGAGTCAACGATAAGGTGCTTTGGATCTTCTCACTGATGATATTAAACAGAAAGACACTAGTCAAAGTTCACGGTGAGCCATGTGCACGGAGAGCCTTAAACAGGTATATTTGCCAAGTGTTGGAACTGGAGGGAAGAGCAGGCAGGTCACTGAAACACTCACAGGTGGCAAGGTTCGGAAGGCAAGGAGCTACCAAGTGGGACGTGAATAGGGTCTCCAGACTGGAGTTTGAATGGAAGGAGTGTTGGCAGGGCTGCCTGGCTGGTGTGAACTCGGAAGACATTATTGAAGCCGGCATCACTGGAGAGAGGGAGAAAGTAGGGCACCTGGAGTGTTGATGAGAGATACCGGAGGGCAGGACTTGAGAAGTACATGGGAATGGTTGGGGTTAGAGTGCACTACCCATCGTAGGCGCTTGCAGTCAAGACAAAGAGGAGAGCAACTGAGGAGTGTAGAGTTCAGAGGAAGGAGTTTGTGCAAGAGTGGATTTGGGTTCCTCTTTTATGCCAAGGAAAAGGCACCTACGGGGCAGATGGAAGGACAGAGAACAAGAGATGGGGAATGACAACCCAGGAGAGAAGGTGACCAAGGCTGTACACATACAGCAGGTAGCCTAGGAAAGGAGAAAAAATACTTTATGTTTTACAGTTTTATTAATATATAATTGACACACAATAACCTGCATGTATTTAGAAGTGCAGAGTTTGATGAGGGATGACGTACGTGCAGATGGTGTAACCAGCATTTCCATCACCCTCAAAGGCTTCTCCTATCCCTCTGCAGTCCTTCCTCCCTGCCCTCTACCTCATTCCCCAGGGAGACCAACGGATCTGCTTCTTTCATTACAGCGTAGTTTTTAGTTTCTAGAAGTGTGGAGCAACAGAGTCGAATGCTGTACCCTCTTTGTCTGGCTTCGTACCCTCAGCATTGTTGCCTTTAGATTCGTCTGACCTGTTAGATTAGTAGGTCATGGCTTTTCATGGCCAAGTAGCAAGTCTGTTGTGTGGACCCTCCACAGTCTGTTGATACATTTACTCGTGGATGGGTCTTTGGGTTGTTTCCAGCTTTGGACCACTACCAATAAGGTTCCTGCAAAATCTGGGGGACATTTTGGTTTTGAAATAGGAGAGACATGTTTTAATCCATTCGGGCTGGTAATACAGCCCCACAGACAGGGTGACAAAGAGCAGAAAGTTGTTGCTAACAGATCTGGAAGCTGGAAGTCCAAGATCAAGGTGCCACTGTGGTCGAGTGAGGGCCTCTTCCTGGTTCATAGCTAGGCCTTCTCACTGCGTCCTCACACGACAGAGAGGCAGGGGAGTCCTCTGGGTCTCTTGTGTAACAACACTAATCCCAATCATGAGGGCTCCCCTTCATGACCTGATCACCCACTAACGCCCCACCTCCTAACACCATCCCTGGGGCTTTAGGTTTACAAAATGTGAGTGGGGTGGGGGAGGAGGTGGGGGAGGAGAGGCACAAACATTCAGACCACAGCAAGAAGAAGGAGTGGACGGGTCAGGAACACAGAGAAATCTCCAAGTCAGGAAATCCTGTGAGGAGTTCCTTCTCTGTTGCCTTTGTGTTTTCAGCTGACAGAGTGGGATTGGGGGAGCAATAGAATGATTCCTTAGACGTGCTAAGAATCTGGCTCAGATGATTCCTAGGGTATCTGAGGGGCACGGGTTCCCCTCCAAGCCAGGAGAGTGTGACTTTGGGGAGGGTTGGTTAGCCTGCCCCTTTGTTTTCTCCAGTGACATTCAG